TTTTGGAAGAACCCTCCTGCAAATGAAGTTGTTCCTTAGGTTGTAGGAGTTACGAAGTGTTTACTACAATGCAGTTTCTGTCAACAGGTCATCATCATATAACACCTTTCAATAGATTCTACAACTTGAGTGGAGGTCGGATGCATGGCCTATACTGAGACGAGATCGGACGATGACGATTGCCCCTTTTCTTGTCGCTTATGTTGGGAGAATTTATTCTAGACACATTTCGAGAGTTGCCAACGAATTACACTTGCAATGGTGAAGAAGGGAGCGGCTTTTTAGGTGGCCGAGATCCATCCTCGATAGATCCTCGACGCAAATATCTCCTCAACTAGAAAATGTAGAAGAAAGCTAAACAGACCATTAGAAAGCGCAAACCTTCCGCTTTTCAAAACTGTCTTCCCTTTTTCAAGATCTTACGAAATTAGAGAGATATTGCCTTTTAAGTGGCAAAAACTCGCATGAAAATTCAGCATCCTCGACGCTGCCTCGACAAAATTTGAGAGACCCTATCTCTTCGAGTGTAAGCTTTTAGATCAATTTCAATATTGCCCGGTAGTAGTAAAATCCAGCTCTATCTAACCCTACCACATACTGCTCCAAAGGTTATGAAATGGGGAATGGAACCTTTTCATCGAGAGTGTAGATTTCGACGGTTTCGAGCGGGGTTTCGGCAAATCTGACCCACGGATAAACCGCGCTGCAACTGAATGCTTTGCTGTACATTGATGGAACTCGCTTATTCACATCAAATCAAAGTTAGAGGGGTCGTATCAAGACCCGATCTGAGGGGGAGGGCGCACTGAGGTGACCACGTCCTCAACACGATTTTCAACCTGCCGATGGCGTGTCTCATTCTCTCCCGGGTAGCAGTGCAGTGCTAGAAATAAAGCGCCAGACGGTGGGAGAGTGCGTGGGTGGAAGAAGAGAGGGACAGAGTCACGTGTGTTAGGGGCAGGAGAATGACGTGAGAGAGTGAGAGAGTTGCGCTTGCGAGAGTGAGGCTGTGCTGATGCGGAGTGATATAGCTGTGAAAAAGAGGGGGGAGAGGGGGATGGAGGTCGCGTTGGCGCTAAACAGTGCGGTACTATCTGTTAATCTTTAAATCTGCCTGACGAGGGATCAAAACGCACACTGAATTTTGTGACGCACACACTTAACAAATTACATGTAGTAGGATAGGGATAAGTGCGTTATCAATAAATTCCTTCTAGCTCTGTACCAGATATACCCTCATCAGATGAATAGTGCCCTTGGAAAGCTTCTCATCAGCTTGTTACGACTGCTTATCTGCCTGCACCATTCACCTTCTCCTCACTCAAGTTGGTCGCGTATTAAGATCGCTACAATGTCGACTACAACTGGATCCCCCCGCGGACGTAGTATCATTATCAAGCAAATATTGAGACCGCAGCGATTTTGATGGCAGATAGTTTTATTTTTACAACTGACTACTTACTGGTTACACGTCTACAGCAAGGAGGAATGGCGAAAAGCTCCTACATTCCACAAACTGGAGGCAAAAGTGGAGGAGCTGATGAGTTTTCGTTGTATGTCACCTTTGTAACGTTGCCTTGTTCAAACCATTAGTTTCAGCAAGAATAGTGGTTCGTTTCTCGACCTATTTTCTCGCGAAGCAGAGTAAAATTGCTCGAACATAAATGAGAATCGCCGA